ATTTAACCCAGCATTTTTTAGAGTGTATAATTACACTGTAACAAGGATGTCTTAAAATAGTGTAACGAAGATTTTCAGTGAATAACTGCTTAAATTCTGGTCTGTTCCTTACAAAAAGTCTCTCTTTTGTGTTCCACATAAAAATAACAGCATACAGGTTTGGAACAACATGAGGCTGAGTAAATAATATCAGAATATACTTATTGGGGTGAATAATGTCAATATGATCTTTGTGAATGAGTAAAAGAGGGCCGTTCCGGTGAGTCCAGTGCTTAGTAGCTCAGCGCTGCTCTTCTGAAGCCCAGGTGTGCCGCTGCAGCCCGAGTCCATCACATGTGTGATTGACAGCGGCGTGGTGATTGACAGCTGCTGTGTTTGCATGTGTGTGTTGCAGACAGCGCTCCACTGGGCGGCCAAGCAGGGCCGTGTGGAGATGGCGGACATGATGGCACGCTCCGGAGCGGACGTCAACCAGAGAGCGGTGAGAGCTGACAGGAGCCAGCGCCCCCACTGACACGCTCACATTTACACCTCTACAGGGGCCCGCACACACAACACACACCCAAACACACACACAAATTAACACCTCCTCCTGCCGCTCAGGCTGCCCGTATAATGTGTGTGTTTGCCTATAATTAAAGCGTAATTTCTCTTTAATATGAGCCCTTAGGCCACAAACTTCCTCGCCTATGTGATTCGACGTGGCTAATCAGCTAAATTTGACTATTAATCAAACACACTCGCAGCAAGGGCTCGGATTTAAGTGGAGTGTGTTCGCATAAACATGACCTCATGTTTATTTATTCCAGATCTGCTAACAGTCAGGCAGTGAATGCTTTGGCCTTCCCCTCAGTTCATGCATATTATAATGCACTGTATCTTATCTCGTCATATTGAGGGTTGGTGAAGTGCAAAGGAAATGCTGACAGGATCTTTGTGCCTCTGGCAGCACCCCTCCCTCCCTCCCGACCCCCAGCCTTTATTTGGAGGTCTATTTTCCCTTTATCACCCACAGCATCGTGGATCCTCTCAGAAGGTTATTTCAAATCAGATCCTGCTGCAGTTTAAAGAGTCCAATTCAACCCTTTGCAAATTGGCTGTTTATATAAATGTGAGGATCCAAGAGGGTAAGGGACTAAAAAAATGTCAGAAATTATGATTAAAAAGGGGAAAGCTTTTAAATATTTATAGTATTCAAGTTGGTTTTACACTCATATATATCATTTTTTAACAATGGTTTTGAGTTAAAGATTCTAAAATTGTTAAGTGGTGTAACCAAAAAATACCTTTCAGCATGTCAATGTATAATTTATTATTATTATTATTATTATTTTATTCTAACATTTTTTCAAGGTTTAAAGTAGTGTTTAATATATTAGTGCTGTCAAACGATTAATCGCAATTACTCCAAAATAAAACGGTTTTGTTTACATAATATATGTGTGTGTGCTGTGTATATTTATTATGTATATATAAATACACACACGTGCATGTACTGTATATATTTCAGAAACATATGCTATGCTCATATAATAAATATATTTATTTATAACATAAATTATATGAATATAAATATAGACATTATAGATATTTTCAAAATATATACTGTATGTGTGTATTTATATATAAATAATAAATATACACAGCACGCACGCATATTTTATACAAATTTTTATTTTGTATGCGATTAATCATCGTTTGACAGCACTAATATATATATATATGTGTGTGTGTGGGGGGGGGGGGGGGGAAATAAAAAAAAATTTCG